GTGGAGGGCAGCGAGTCGGTACGAGAGCTCTCATCTGTATCAGAATCAGTACTGAAAGGCGCCCGCACTGATTCAAGTTTAGATTACAGCTGGTTGTAACACGTAAAAGCTGAGTAGGCAGGAAAAGGGTGAGAGCTTTTGTCATGTTGGACTTCAGAGAACGAGAATGTGGCCAGAGGCAGTGAGTCCCAGTGCAGACCAAACCAGAGGCTAAAAGAGAAGACTGCAAATGAATGATCCTGTGGCTGCTGGACGAGGAGGCAGCTGCTAACAGAGCCATCTACGCAACTGCTGTTAAATGGAAACACAAAAAGAATAATAATAATAATAATAATAATACGCTTATCTGTGTAGAGGAGAGTGGGTCTTTAAGAAAAGCCAAACTAAATCCAGAATAAATGGAAACACATCTCACATACCTCTGCCTTCAATCAAAAACAATATATGAAACAACTGGCATTTTAATTTAAATTGCTTTACAGAATTTTACCCACAAAACAACAATGATGACTTGGATGTAACACGTATAACTTACAAGAAATACACTGAGAGATGGGGAAAATTTAGACCGGCAGAGGGCTGGCTGAAATGTGTGGCCTATCAACAGCGCAGACTGTAAAACATGTAAGAAGCATGTGCAGTAAGAACGCCAACATGCGGAAATGGTCTCTGACTGGGCAGGAAACATCCTGCAAACAGGGACCAGTATCTGAGTCTAAAGTGCTGAAATGTACGGAAGCCCTCTTACTCTTATTATCTTGTGATCTCGAGAGAACAAACCATAGCTGAATACAGGGGTTGGCAGGTGCATTTCTTTACGATAATTTCAGATAGATTATCAGTGTCAGTGGTTAGTTCAGTTGGTGGAGTATAGGGCTTGTAATCCAAGGATAATGTGTTTGACTCCTGCTCTAATCGATTTTATTTTCTTCTTTTGTGTGTTTTTTATTATCCTCTTCAACAAAGTTATGATGAGTTTCGGGGAAATCAAATCACGCATTTCCCGACAGTTATTTCAAAGGTTCGGAAATAGCCGTCGGGAAATGTGTAACGTTGAATGGATTCCCATGAATGAGAAGTGCAGGAAATTTCTCTGCCTGTGAATGATGGGAAATGAAAAGTCCTTAGGTTAATCGATGTGGCCCAATCCTCGGGATGCACACAGTCGAGTAACAGTCTCTTCATAAGAAATTTGTTGAAGAGAATTATGACCCGTTATCTCGAGATCACAAGAAAATGATCCTGCAATAACGAGAAAAGTTTTCCAAAACGACATGTTAGATCATGAGCAAGTACCAATCCAGTGACAGGCGTACCGAACCTTAAGAACATTGCAAACGTTATTTAAGTTAAAACATGTCACCTTTGACTTTCTTCCACACGGGACTCAAACCTCCTCCTCCTCTCCTGAGTGAAAGTCAGGAGTTTACTTGACACACCCATCCACCCACCACCTCCTTACTGGGACGCTCTTCATACTACGTCATCTGACTTCTGACACTAGAGTCACGGCCTAACAAAAATCTAATATTGGTCATAGATAGATAGATTAGAACAGTGACAGAAATTCTCCTTCGACAAGGCTTTTTTAAAACATAAATTTAAAACAGCCGCTGTACGATATCTATTTTGCCAGATAAGCTGCTGCATAATCGACCTGTATGGTAATTTCTCTGGAAAGGGCGGGCTGAAACAAAGCTTTATTGATCTGTTAGCTCTCTGAACGCTGAGGTGATTGTCAGTGACCCTGTAACACCAATCAGAAGAGGAGTTGAGGGATTCAGCAGAGTTCTGGCTGTTCCATCCATACAGTGCACTTTATTGATAGTCAGACATCTTGTTAAGGCAGATGGACATTCCTTAACACGTCAAGGGGTAAAATTGTTCAGCTCTAACGATTTTTACTTCCTGCGTGACTCATGTGTTTCCTTTGCCAAGGACTATTCAATACAATTATTTATTATTTAGCGCCATTTGAACAGATCTTCTTGGCTTACTGACTTTCAGCAGCCACATTAAAATTACAACGTCTGCCTACGATCACCTGAAGAATATATCAAGGATTAAAGAACTTCTGTCTCAGCAGGAAATGGAAAAACATGCATTTATTTTCAGTCAACTCGACTACTGTAACGGTGTCTTTACAGGTCTCCTTAAAAATCTGACAGCTGCAGCTGATTCAGAACGCTGCTGCTCGAGTCCTTAATAAGGCCAAAAGAGTGGATCAAAGAGGTTTTTACACTGGCTTCCTTTTAGGCAGATAACTAATTTTATACACTGCTGTTTTATAAAGCACTGAACGGATTAGGGAGAAAATGCAGCATTCAGTATGATACACCATTTAACTGGGGGCAAACTCCCAGGAAACTGCAGGTCTGCTGCTCTCAGTTCTTTTAAATCAAGACTTTTTTTATTTAAATTAATTTCTTACACTGCACTGCAACTTTTACTCTCCTGTTTTATTGGTATTTTCTATTTAACTCTGTTTAATTGTATTTAAATTGCTTTCATATCGCCTCATGTTGCTTTTACATGTCATGTAGCGTGGCTGCCTGTTGTGTACTGAGTCAAACATGTTCCTCTACTCTGCTGAAACCTACAATCCAGTTTTCCCTGCAGAGTTAGAGCTGTGGAGCGGGATCAGGGAAGCCTGTTGGCACCAACCAGCTGGATCAGAGGGGAGGGTGATGGGAAAAATGCTGCCGTGGGCCATCTGGCTGCTGAACTGTTGTCTCTGTGTGGATTCATCATTAACTGAGTGAACCTGCATCAAGTAAGTAATTCACTTACTCCCTTCCTGAGCTAATGCGGGTAATGTATGACACTATTGGCCCGCGAGAGCTCAGAGAGAGAAAGATAAATTCATTTTTAAATGGCAGTTATTTAACTTTTTACTCACCCAACTGGTTTTATGAAGACTTAAATCATATTTTCTGTCCTTTCTGCTGCCTGATAAAAGATTTAAGCTCTTGCATAAATTTCCATCCACCCATTATCTATAACGGCTTATCCTTTGCAGGGTGGCGGGGGGCTGGAGCCGATCCTAGCTCACATTGACGAGAGGCGTGGTACACCCCGGGCAGGTTGCCAGTTCATCACATACACACATGTGGGCAGTTTTGAGTCACCAATGAACCTATGAACCTGCATGAGTTAGGATTGTGGGAGAAAGCCTGGGGGGTCCTAAACCCACTCTGACATGGGAAGAACATCCAAACTCCACACAAAAAGGCCCCAGCTGGCCGGCCGGTTCGAACCCAGAACCCTTCTTGCTCCGAGGCGGCATCACCAACCGCTGCCTTTGCAACCCGTTCTCCCTCCCCGAGTCGTCACATATGGACGCATGGTCCATATAGTGTCATATGTCATAGTTCAGTGCAGTCGGGGGAAGCCCTGTAGCGTCACTTTTTGGTGGTGGGGGTAAATGTTATGGTATTTAGCAGAAAAGACTGAGTAAGGAGGTGCTTGGGGTGGACGGAGGGCCAGAACCCTGACAGTGAACCAGGAGACCGGGGTTAGTGTCCCGTGTGAAACAAGAAGTCAACATTAAATATTTTTATTTAAGTTACGCGAGTTTACTTACGTGTTAAGTGACCTACGTAGTTATTTTAACACAAACCAGGATCGTTTCCTAACCTCAACCAAGAAGTTTTGTTGCCTAAACCTAACCAAATTGCAACGTTTCACAACTTTAATAACGTGGCGTTTGAAAATGAACGTTAGCGTTTTATTGCATATTTAGTGTTGCTAACTTTACCGGATGTTGCATATTTGTTGTGGCTAGGAGTTGCTACTTTGACCATGAAGCCCTAAACGTCTAAAAATGACTCTAAAGGGTTACCCAGGGCGTTAACAAGCAGCAATATATGGAGTTGGGAGTGAGAATGTGTTGGCCTGTGATGAAACTGTGTGGCAGTTTGCTTTAAACTGTAAAGCCTGATTCACACTACGCAATTTTAAGCCCGATTTCGGTCCGCCAAGACAGATCTCTAGCATGCCAAATATCTGGAGCTGTTGCCGACTCCGTATCCGAAGGCACACAGGCAGCTACTTTTTCATTACTAAACAGTTTTTATGCACCTGGGCTCCAACTCTCTCTGTAACACAGACAGTCCCTGCTGCCCCCCTGTGAGAATCAATTTGAAACATGGTTTCGCTTCATTTCCTGTGTTACATCTCGAGTGTGTTTTCTTGACAGAACCTGGTTTGGAGACCTGGTCGGGTGACAGAGTCATCAGCTCGTGTTGTGGGTGACCTCCTGTCGCCGACCGGTCATGTAGTGACGACATCTGTGTAGTCTGAACAGCACAGCGATCTGCCGACGTGGAAAGTCTTGTAGTCTGCTCCGGTCTTAAGCGTTGTTCAGTCCCGTTGTGCCCTTCATGTCAGATTAAATTCATATTTTTTTGCAATGTGGCAGATTCATTTGGTGGTTTGAATCACTGCAAAACATTTGTCAACGTCTGATAATAAATGCCGCTGTACACTTAAACTGGCTCGTGTCTCTGCACAGGACAGACAGAAAGGTGTTTTTAGAAACACACTGTCAGCTCTGTTTGTCTGTATTTGTAAGCTATTTTATATTGTTAATTGGAAAGCAATGTTTAGACATTCACCAGGCATGAATACCACTGTAAAACAGAGCAGGCTGAGTCAACCACTTGAGAGCAATTAAAAACCAAACACCTGAGGTGATAAGATAACAAGATTCAATTTGTATAATAACAAACAAATGAATGTTACTGAGTTTTTTCATAAAGATGTGTTTACTTCAAAATCTTTAAGAACACCAGTTGTGACACAAACAGGTAGTTTTTTATTCAATGATTTAATCTCCATTTGTGCAGCTTGTTAAGTCATTTTGAAGACACTTTATTCCCAAAGAGGTTATTATAACACTGAAGGACCTACATGTGTCCTTCCCTCTGTTTTATAGGACACGGGTGCAGGAGGGTGGAGAGGGTCATGAAGTCTTTCTCTAGCCCTTAAATCTCCGGTCTTGCCCTCTGCAGTGTAGTTTTGTCTAGAAATGACACGCCAGTCCCTGGTCGGGCACGCGCCTCCGCGGACACCCGCAGAATATAAAGTGAGCTGCGCGCGCACGGGGCTCAACAGTGATCCAGTAACGAGCGGCGGTGAGAGCAGCTCCGGAAAGTTGAGAGCGCCTGGTGAGGGCAGGAGAGAAAACACAGCGCGGGGTTAACATGAGCTGCGGGAACTCTGCGCACCTGGCAGCGCTGGAAGTTTCTTTTCTCCAGGAGCGCAGGAGGTGATGCGCCCTGCTGGACTCGAGTCGGGTCTGTTACCAGAGAGGATGGCAGAGTTGGGGAACCAAAGCACCACGTCCTCATGGAACCGGTCCGCTGGAGGACAGGACCGGTTCAGCAGCCTGGATGACATCGACGTGCCGGCGGACGGCTCCCCGGCGCTGCGCATCGTCATCTCCATCGTGTACTCGGTGGTGTGCGCCGCCGGACTGGTCGGGAACCTGCTGGTGTTCTTCCTGATGAAAGGGCGGCGGGGCAGGAAGAAACGCTCCAGCATCAACCTGTTCATCCTCAACTTGGCCGTGACGGACTTCCAGTTCGTGCTGACTCTGCCGTTCTGGGCGGTGGACACGGCTCTGGACTTCAGCTGGCCGTTTGGAAACGCGATGTGCAAGATCATCCTCTCCGTGACGGTGATGAACATGTACGCCAGCGTGTTTTTCCTCACTGCCATGAGCGTCACCCGGTACTGGTCGGTGGCCTCGGCGCTGAAGGACCGGACCCGGAGGCGGGTGTGCCCGGTGCGTTGGGTGATCGCCGGTCTCTGGGTCTCCGCCACGGTGGCCTCTTTGCCCACCGCTATTTTCTCCACGGTGAAGAGCGTGGCCGGGGAGAGGCTGTGTCTGCTGGGCTTCCCGGACGGCCAGTCGTGGCTGGCGCTGTACCACCTCAGAAGATCTTGGTAGCCTTCGTTTTCCCCATGCTGATTGTCACCGTGTGCTACCTGATGCTGCTGCGCTTCGTCCGCCTGCGCAGCATGAACAACAACCAGGTGAAGCGGAGGTCCAGAGTGACCCGCTCGGTGACCATCGTCGTCCTCTCCTTCTTCATCTGCTGGATGCCCAACCACGCCATCACCTTCTGGGGCGTCCTGGTGAAATTCAACGTGGTCAACTGGGATAAGACGTACTACATGGTGCACACGTACGTCCACCCGGTGACCGTGTGCCTGGCGCACACCAACAGCTGCCTGAACCCGGTGCTGTACTGCCTCATGCGCCGGGAGTTCAGGAAGAAGATGAAGGATCTGTTCTGGAGGATTTCCTCGCCCACTGGGACGAACACCTGCCCCCTGAGACCGTTCTCTGGGACGGTGAGAGCGGAGCCCGACGACACGCAGGTTGTCATCCCGCTGAACAACGTGGAGACGGAGAACTGCAGACTGTCTGTTTTAACGGACCAGTTAGACACCGAACCGCTGCAGAGGTAAACCACACTTTAAAGTAAAAAACACAATAACAGAAAATCTTTGAAACCAGCTGACAACATCTGAGTGATGACTGATCTTTTAAAACTATTCACTCAGAGAAACCCTGACTGTCCTCCTGAATCCTGGCGAATTGTCTCAGCTTTCCTCACAGCGACATTGTTCTTTGTACTGTACGTGTTGCTGGAGTTTTGACAGCTTGTCTGTTATTTTTAACAAAACACTGCACACAAGATCATATTTGGCCTCAGTATTTCGGAGAACGCCGTGCAAACTGTGCCAAATCCATCTCCCATATAAAACGAAGGACCGGACAACTAATCACTGCTATACCTGGCGTATGAGATGTTTCTGACTTTGCATCAAATGGATTTGATTAGATTTTATCGCAATTTAAATGTGTGAGACATAAAAGGACATGCATTCACGCGTAAATTGCGCACCAGGACGCGCGGTGCGTAAAAACCAACCATCTGCGCTTTGACTGCTCTGAGTCCGACTGGGATCTCACATAACAGTTATGCTGATGTTGTTTATTTGATTTTGAAAAGCTTACTCTTTGTTTTTTCCTCTACTATAAATGAAGTGAAGGCTCAGTGTCTCATCCAGTGCTGCCTCGCCCTCTAAAGTGCTCTCTGTGTAGACTTTATGTTCCAAGCAGAGGAATCCGGTCACAGTCCGGTCGCTGTGCTGCAGGGAGGATCCGGCCCCGATCAGACAGAGCGCGAGTGCCCTTTTTGTTGAAGTATAGAATTGGAAAAAGGAGCAGCTTGCTGAGTTTACACGAAGTACGAACACACAAATCTGATCTGAGTTGAAAACGAAGCTCTGTCTGATCGGCTGCGCAGCATCACTCTGTGGAGTATTATTAGTGTTTGTTGTGGCTGATTTGTAAAATGTACAAGCTTGATTAAGTGAATGTAAAACAAATACTTGCCAATACAACCTTAAAAACAATGTTTGGAGAATAAAATATTTCCTTTGTGTTGACATTAATCCAAGTGTTGGTGCTGTTTAAGGTTTGTGTTTAGATGTGGAAACGGGGCTGTAGGCTGTGCTGCGTTCAGGGGTTCAGTCTGTGAGGCAGTGGATCAGATTTACTGGCAGAAATGTAGGAAATGAACTCCAGTGTTTACATGCCAGCGGCCTCAGGGCTGCTCTGTCTGTGTGTGACTCCCTCTGCTGTGAAGATAATCCCAACAGCCTGGGGATGACTTTTATTTGAGACGATGAAGATAAATGTTTATTTTTAAATGTTTAAGATTTTTTTTTGTTTGCATCAGAGCACTTAAAGGAGCATATTTTTGTGAAGGTCTTCTGTTCCCTCAAAGATGTTTACTTTAGACATTTTAAAGGTTAGATTTAGTTTGAGCAGTTGAGTATAAATTTGTTTTAATTCTATATAACATCACTTCTTTTCTCATGCACATAGTTTACCTCACAGCTGAGCTCCATTCTGATTGGCTCGGTCCAAATTTGTCCTTTCCAACCAGTTATGAGGGTTTGAAGTGAGAATCATCCAATCTGCAGACAAAATTAGACGAGCTGCTGCTGTCAACCAATCAGGGTCCAGAGCTTTAAATAATGACGTTAATGTCAAAAATTCACTTAAGTTACAATATTTGGAAAACATTAATAAGTAAACACCAACAAATGATTTTAAAAACTTGTTTTTAAAGCCTATTTAGAGTAATTTAGAATAATATCAAAATATTTGCAGATTAATTTTTTATCCACTCATCATTTAATCGACTAATCGTTGCAGCTCTAAAAAAAAAAAAAAACACAAAACAAATGAGTTAGCAACGTGTTTTCTGATAATGCACTGTGAAAAGTCATGGCTCTATTTTTAATTACTAGAAGTGTATTTTCATCTAATTAGTACAAAAATGCTGCCATTTTATTTTAGTTCATGTTTGAGTGTAAATGTTATGCAGAGTTATTTGGACTCTGAGTGGTCAGGATTTCACCTTTACTGAAAAAATAAAGTGTTCAAATAAGCACAGCTTTGCCATGAAATTAAGCTTAATGGTAGAAATGTTTGCAGACACTGCAGAGCAGTTGAAATAAAATTAAAAAAAGATAAAATAACTCGAGATCAAGAGTAAACTTGTTATTTGCTTCTGCTGTAGCATGATGGTTTTTTAAACACACCCTGGTTGCCTCTGTCTGTCCAGTCATGCCAGCATTTGCAGCATTTAAGATTGAAATCCTCCAAAAACTTCATTTGAGCTGCTGCTGTCAACCAATCAGAGCTCATAATAATTAGCAACAGCTTTATTACCAAGTAGTTTTATACACATACAATTAATTTGCTTTGGTGAGTCGCTGCCTGACATAAATAAATGTAAATCTAAAACTGTGGAATAACCAAGCTGTACAATAAAATAAAAGAGTATTTGCATTGTGACAGTTATTTACATGCAATTTTATCACATTCCTATTGTGCAAACATTTGCGGGGATCACCCGGGCCTTGTTGCAGATGGGAGGAAACTGTTCATGTGCCGTGAGGTTTTGGTCCTGATAGGCTGGTCTACAGGTTCATGCCAAAAACTCACTTTTAACTAAATCAAATCACTTTGCATAACATGTTCACGTCATGAGTGTTACTATCTTAAAACAAAACAATAAAAAGTTAAATGTTCTCATAGAAATGTGTGGTTTTCTGTGGTTTTGAATGATAATTGTGCTATTTTTAAATACTACAAATGTGAGCTTTTATGGAGGGGTAAAAATTATGTAAAATTGGAACTAGTGTGGACAAAAGGTTGTATTCTTAAAAAAAAGTAAATTCCTCCAAATCTGTTGGAAGAAATGAAGATCAAATAACTCTTGTGACTGGAGTTTGAAACTTCTGAGTTGATTTCTTGTGTACTTCTGCTTTTATAAGTTAACCTTAATTAGAAGAACTGGGAAAACGTATTTGGATTATATCTAAAACAAAACAAAAGAGAGCAGCAGGAACATGCATAATGTGTACCTGTAAAGCACTTATCAAATGCAGCGTTGCAAAGGGCTTCACAATAAAAAAAGAGGACAACCAGGACAGAACAAAGAGCAGCACGTACTGCACATTATGTAAAGACAGTCCAGCCTATAAACACTGAAGTGGACTTTGCCCCTCCCTTACGAGCCCGCAGAGGCGGCTCCATGAATCTTTCATCACATACTGTAAAGCTGCAAACTACTGGTCTGTGAATATACAGCTGCCCATTATCAGAGAGGTCTGAGCTTACGAACACACACACACACACACACAGTGCAGTGGTTTAATAAGGTCAGCAGTGCTTCCGTGGCAGCTGTGGTGGCTTCAGTGTAACTGTATTCAGATTTAATACACAGAGTCTGAAAGAAGCTTTTGACTTTGAAGACGCAGACAGGACAGGTCCATTTACTTATGTAATGTCTACATTTCCTACCACTAATCAACTTACAGTTCATAACGAACTTCCACATTTTAAATCCTACATTTTCTTACCAAGATGTTCTCAAACAAAACTAAAAGGTCTAATGACTCCACTAGGGATGTTTGTTCCAGCTCAAAGAAGAACAAAGAAAGAACAACTCTTTAGACTCTGACCAGTAGTGCAGCTTAAAATGTTCAGCTCATTCTCATTCTTAGGGTGTCAAATACATACTTTACTTTGTCAAGTCCTTTGGCGTCATAGTTCAAAGCGCTTTAGCTTCGTCATTCAACGCTAAAAGTAGGCCTTGTATAAATAACAGAAAATCAGAGTAAAGCTGGATTTATACTCCTGCGTCGGGTCTACGTGCGTAGCCTAAGCATGTAGCCATGCATTTATACTTGTGCGTTGGTGTCTGCGTCATTCTGCAACTACACCGCCAAACGCAAGTTAGCGGTAGCACTACAGTGCTCCGTTTAGACCTTTCGTGGCCGAGCAGGCTAACTTCCAGTTTAGCCATCCACAAACTTGAATGGGGGTAAAATTGTATATGTGTGGCTGCAACTTTTCAAATGTCATCGACCGAATGGATCACATTCTGATAGTGAAACGAGTCATTTCGCTCGGGTTGTGATGGTCAAATATATTGATTCACTGTGTTACAGCCGCTGGCACTTCCTGTCGGCTCGGAGGCATTGCGAAGCTTCCCAGCTGACCAATGTCTCAGAGCCAATAGTTCTTACGATCCGCACCGCCTCGACGTGTAGTTACATTTTTGAGGAAGTGCACATGAGGCTACGGCGTTGATTCAATGCAAGTATAAATCACACTTTATGTTGGGGATGGGGGGGGGGTTCAGAAACTGGACATTCACCCAGTGTTTGTTTCCTGTGTGAAATAAAAAGTTAATAATAATTCTTTTTAGTTAAGATACTTAACTTCGGTAAGTTAATTCACAAAGGGAACATTGTCATTTTAACCCAAATCATGATCTTTTGCTAAACCTAACCAGGTAGTTTTGTTACCTATAGCCAACCGACGTTTCACAATGTTGTTGTGCAAAAACAATGCTGAAGAGTACCCGGGGCTCTAAAAAGCAACGGCAAGGAACATGAATCACATTTAAAGTTTTCCCAAGAACAACCAACTCTGGTTCATCCTCATCCACCCTCCTTCTTCTCCCCCGTTCAACAAAGCTCGCACTCATTTCTTTCTGTTACTTTCCTGCCCCTGTGGACCCATTATAATCTCTGGCCATGCTGTGGTCTCAGTGGACATTTTCCTTACATCACGCTCCCCTTTGTGCTTTAACACCACAAATCTAACAGACGAAAAATGTGTCCCTCTAATGAAGAAATATCTCTGCATCTCTGCAGAGCGGTAAATGATCTGGTTCGACCAACCTCACTTCTGCTTAACATCTCTCTTTTCACTCTTAATGATGAGTAAAAGTACCAGCCCTTCGCTTCAAGTCCGTTTTCCCATCCATTATTTTAACAGATCAAACAGGATTGATTCAATCAATCAAGTGGAGTGGGCTTAATTATTTGAAACGCTAAGCCAATTTAGAGTAGGGAAAAACTTAACTATTCCAATAAGAATTATTCTAAATATTTCCGTCAAGTCAGGAATGCCAACTTTCACCTCTACCGTTAGAGGTAGCTATCAAAATTTCAAATATCACTGGAATTACCAGGGTAAAATAGAACAGATGCATATTCTTTTTACATATTTCAGACCCAACAAAGTCAATTTATAATCTGCTCATGGTATCCTTTCACACTTTGGGGAAATATCTGGGTACAAATTGGATTTCAGCAACAGTGAACATCTGCTAGTCAGCACTGCCGCTCGAGTGTTCCCACTCCATACATCACCATTCAAGATCTTTTGGCTTGAGATTACTCAGAAGTGAACCTGATACTTTCTCTGAACGATTTGACCTGCTGCTTGTTGCTTTACAAGTGTTTTGAGCACAGGTCACGTCTTCCTCTGACCTTGCCAGGCAGTGTAAACTAACTAAAAATAATATCTTGTGTTTTTCAGTGCATTGCTATTTCAATTCAGGTCTGGTCCTGCCTGATTTTCAGTTACACTACTTGGCTGCTAATGTTGAACAAGCTAAATACTGATCCTCTTGACCAATGTTTCTCTCAGTACACAAAAAATATTGTTGCAGTCCAGTTTAAAAATTTGGGTTCAATTCAAAACTACTTTTTCACCTTAAAGTCCCCATGAAATCAAAGGTCGATGTTTATTTGTTTTATTGCATTTGCCTTGCGCTCTATGTCACCAGTACACCAGCATCTGGCCCAACAATGATAAAAAATGTTGTTTTGTAGGGATTCTTGATGGTATTTTTTTCTTATCTTTTTCCCCCTCCTTTATTGAGTTATAAACCTTTTTTGTGCATGTAACAGGTTTGCAAAGTGAAAAAACCCAAAGTCCAGCCCAAAGGGAGTTCCCATCTCCCACAGAAAACTCCAGCCGCTTCCCTTTTCATCCCTGTGACGTCACAGGGATGAAAGCAAAACGCGCCTCATATAACGCTCGCCGAGCGAACTCCTCAGAAACAGCGAGCTGCAGCACACAGCTCTCCTCTCCCTTCCAAACACTAGCTACCCTCCAGGCAGTCAGTGGACAGAAAGTTGTTCCTGTGATGTAGAGACAGAGCTCAGCTAAAACTTTATGGATACAGATTAATAACTCACCGCTCTGAAACTCTCGCTCCAGTCCGTGTTGCCGAGCCGGTCGGCAACACGTACGGCTGAACCCGAGCCGTTTACCGGCTTCTCGCTGACCCGCCCTACTCTGCTTCTGATTGGCTAGTAGTCCTTAACTAGGAACTGAGCATGTGCAACTCCCAACAAAGATTAGAGACAAGATGTATCACTCCACAGCTAAAACGAAGCCTTCAACACAGGGTGGAAAGAGGAGCTGCAGCAATGTGCAGTATGACAAAAATATAACCATGGAAACCTGCTCTGGTACAACCTCTAAATAAGATGAGGAACCTGAAAATGAGCAGAATACCACCTCTTTAAGCATCTTCACTTTACCATGCCACTTCATGCAAACCTGCTGTTCCTGCCCGCTCTGTAGGATTATTCTTTGTTATTAAAGCATGGCTGTGGCATCATTTCAGTTAAAGGTTTCATAGATCAAACTTGGAGTACTATCTCCTCGCTCCACATAAAAGTGTCACATCTGTGAGCATCTGCTGATGTGGTACTCCGTACAAATCGGTTACTTACTTTGCAATGACTTAATTTGATTATAACCAATCCTCAGGTACTTTGGTATGTTGCTGGTCGCACTAAGTTTGAGTTTTGTTGTGGTTGTAACACCCGTGTCCACAACCCTTTAGTCTGTGCCAAA